AAAACCTCAAAAAACTTTAATGTCTTCAAAGGGTATTGAGGAAGTGAAATAAAAAAAAAAAATAGAGGTCCTGGGGGTGAATTGGTTCTGTTCTGAGGGTCTGAAGAGGGTAAAGAGAAAGAAGAGTAAAAAGGAGACACACACAAGTAAAAGCAGGAAGAAGGAGAAGAACTTGCCACTTCTCATAGTTGAGGTGCATGAGAGGAATCTATAAACATGGCAGAAGGTAGGTGAGTGGTACGTTAATATAATGGAACATGAATGAGCATAAGAAATGATGAATGAGAAAATTTCAGAGAAATCTGAGTAGTACAAACCAACTCAGAGTGAACTGAGCAGATTCAAGAGCATCTATTAAGCACCTACTATGTGCCAGGCACGATGCTAAACCAATCCTCATCCTTCATGATGTCTCCACAGCCTTTGACACTTTCTTACCTACTTTTCCCTGATACTTTCATTTCTCTAGACTTTTGTGACTCTGCTTTCTCTAGTTTCTCTGCCTACCTATTTAACTGCTCCTTCTCAGGCTCTCTTTCTAGATCTCCATCCAGGTTACCCCCCACTAATTCAGGGTGTCCACTGCTGCTCTGTTTTGGGCAGTCTTTCAGCCTTAGTTTTCTCATCTATACAATGAGGAAAGGTGGCACCATAGTGGATAGGGATTTGGATCTGTAATCAGGAAGAATTATCTTCCTGAGTTGAAACCTGGCCTCATACACTTATCAGCTATGTGTCCCTGAATAAGTCACCTAACCCTGTTTGCCTCAGTTTCCTCATCTGTAAAATGAGCTGGAGAAGGAAATGGCAAACCCCAGATGGGGTCACAAAGAGTTGGACACGACTGAAACAACTGAACAACAACAAAAAGAGGAAAATATTAGCCTTTCACAGGGTTGTCGTAAAGGATCTAGTAAGATGAAATATGTAAGTACTATAGGAGTGCTATCATCATCATTATTATTAAATCATTACCTCAGAGAAGAAAAGTAGGGTAATGAACAGAGAGGCAGCTTCTTAATAAGTCTGGTGGTCAAACCTCTGACTTAAACAGTAAGTGTGTGACCTTGGGCCAGTCACTTAAACCCTTAAGGCCCCAGGCAACACTGTCTTAAATGGCAGACATATTGTTAATCCGTTCTAGTAGATTGTTTCCCCAGGCAATGAAATAAGACTGGACTCACTGAAAAAGTTAACTATTGTTAATAATATCAGAGCCAGAAGGCACTTCTTTAGAACCCTCACATTTTTTGTTATTGTTTTTGTGTTCAGCTGTTGTTAGGGTTTTTCCCCCTAATTGTGTCTGACTCTTCTTGACCCCATTTGGGGGTCTTGGCAGAGATACTAGAGTGGTATGCCATTTTCTTCTCCACCTCATTTTGCAGGTATGGAAACTGAGGCAAATAGGGTTAAGTGACTTGCCCAAGGTCACACAGCTAGTGTTTGAGTACAGATTTGTACTTATGAAAATGAGTCTTCCTGACTCCAGGCCCATCCACAGTGTCACCTGGCTGCCCTCACATTTTACAGATAAGAAAACAGAGTTTCTGAGAGTTAACTGACTTAAAAAGATGGTAAATGGCAGGGTAGGATTAGAAACCAGGTCTTCTAACTCCAAATCCTGCGCTTTTCCCCCTTGAAAAGATTTATGTAGCATTTTCCAGAGCACTTTCACAAGCATTTCATTTGAACCTTACTAAGGATCCTGTGAGGATCAATTATTATGATTCCCATTTTATAGATATGGAAACTGAGGCTCAGGGTGGTTGTTACCCACCCAAGGACACATTTTCACTTTGAATTCTAAACGCATAACAATAGCCAAGCAAGAGAAAACTCCCTCCCCATCTCCACCCCACCCCTTTCTTTTATTTCAGTTTTTCAAAGTGTGAGATGCCCTCCACCTCCTTGATTCACTTGAATTCCTGCCCATCTTTTAATGCCTGTCTCAAACACTTCTTCCTCCCAGAAGGCTTCTCTGATATCCTGTGGTAACAACCTTTCTTTTTCTCAAGTCTTACACAGTACTTTGGCATTTCTCTAATGCTTTCATTTTTTTTTCAACTGTACATTATGGTTACCTTATATATGTCTTATCCCTTTACTAATCTCTAAATTGTAGGAGGACCGGGACTGTTTCTGAACTAAGATTTGTACGATCATTCCCCTCCCCCACCTCTTGGCATTGAATTTAAAATACAATCTCTTCAATTGAATTGTATTTGAATTTGAAAGGGCAAAAGCGGTCTTCTGGGAGTGTACCTCCTCTGGGTTCTTTGGCTGCTGGAGAGGTGAAGCACATTCCAGAGCCCGACAAAGGTTTAAGAGGTTGGGCTGTGAAATTCTGAATGTTCTAGTATCAAAGATAAAAGTAAAATTTACCAAAAAAAAAAAAAATGTGTTTAATGAAGCTGTTAGCCAATGCACATAAGTATGGTTTTTACAAAACAAATAAAATTTGCCTCTTAACACATATGTGCTAGCTTCAAAACATAGCAGACCTTGAACTTGGCAAAGAACCCAACAAAAGAATATTGAATTAATAGCGTGCCTAATATTGAAGAAAAATAATGCATAGGCCAGTTTTCTAATTCTTCCACAATGTGGCCAACTGTGCTTCCTCACCGTAAAGAATATTAACACCATGAGCACAGTTTGGGGGAACACAGTAGGTGCTTAATGAATTTAAAGACTGAAACTTTGTATCTCCAGGACCTAGGACAGTAACTTGGCATATAGTAGGAGCACTTAATAAATGTTTGAGATGGGAATAATCTCAATTAGCCTAGGCTTCAGGCTTCTCTGTGGTGAAAGGCAGTCTGAAGCCGTATCAAGTCTGGATTTTGCTGCTAACTAGCTGTGGTTACTTCCCATCTCTAGGCCAGGGTTTAGTCATCTGTGGCCTGCCCAGTTCAGAGAATACAGTTTCTCTTTTTCTCCCTTCCCAAGGCTCTGTCTCTGGGTGCTTCCTTTCTTGCCTGATACGTCCCTATCTATGCTGGGGTTTTGGTAGACCCCCTGAGTACTTCGGAATGGGGGTGGGAGGGGAGGAAGGAGAGGCGAGGCAGTCTGTTGCTTTGTATCATCATTATTTCACCGAGTTCTTCCGAGGCCCACGCCCACCCACCCACCTCAGGAAATCGGCCATTTCCGAATAAGGGATAATAGGGGAATTCCCGAGTAAAGACACTTTCCGTTCAAAGAGATACTTTCATGGGCGACCATAGCCTGGGAGAAAGGAATTGAAAGCAAAGTTTGGCTGAGTTTGAGCCAAGTGGATGCTTTAAGGGGTTCCTTATGAAAGGGCTGTTTGGGGTTAATTAATGTTTCTTTTTGGAGAGAAGATTACACAATACCCCGAGATACCCTTCATGGGATGTTAGGTTTAGAGAACAAGAAACAGAACCAGTGGAGGTAGAGTTTAACTTACGAATCTATTCCTTTGTCCCTTAATTAATTCCCATAATTACACAGAGCTGAGGTGGATACACTACAAAAAAAAAAGGCAACTCTATAAGCCTCAGTTTCTTCATTTGCAAAATGAACATGATAATACCTGCTCCATTTCCCTCTCATTGTCGAAAGGAAAACCCTCGGTAAACCTCAAAGTGCTCTATGATGCAAGTTGTTACTAATCATATTTATCCTCCGATTAAACACTTCATTAAAAACAACAGTGGACATCAATATAACCAATAAACTTGCTTAGTAACTAAATTTAATTAAGCAACAAGCATTTATTAAGCTGATTTCAGTGTCCAAAGTATAACAAATTTTCAGTCACTCCCTGTAAATCTTCTACTGGATTGATTAGCCATCAAATCCCATTCATTGTTCCTCTGCTTAGCCATAATTACTGTGATTTCCGTTGTCTGGTTCTGCTTTTTTTTTTTTTCCACTTTGAATCATTTCATAAAGATCTTACCAGATTTCTTTGTATTTCTCATCCTTGTTGGTCTTAATTGAATTATAGGGGTCCATTACATTAATGTTCTACGATTTATTCCTCTGTTTCCGTATTGGTTCCCCCAAATTACTTATAATGAATGCTGCCTTGGAGTCTGAAAATCTTTGAATAGTAAACTCTTTTGGTTTTTTTCTGGTAACCTTTTTCAGGGGATATGTCGCAACAATGGAAAGGCTGGGTCAAGGGAATATGATTATTCTTGTAACTCTCTTCTATGAGTTACCCTTGCACTCCAAATTTCTAAAAGTTTGCAATTCCATTGCATAAGCAATATCTGTTTTTCCACAACTCCATCAGCACTGAGATTGTAACTTTAAGTTTTTGCCAGTGTGATGAGTATCAGATATTACCTCAAAGCTGTCCTTGTGTAACTTTGATTATGAGTTGGGTTGAGTATTGTTCAAATTGTTAACTATTTTTTTTTATGAATTTATTTTTAGTTTTCAACAATCACTTCCATAAGCTTTGTTTTAAATTTTTCTCCCCCCTCCTTCATCTCCCTCCCCAAGACCGCGTGCAATCTGATATAGGTGTTGCTGACTATTTGTGTTTCCTCTGTGGAAAACATAGGCAGCTAGGTGGCACTGTGGATAAAGCACCATCCCCAAAGTCAAGGATATGTGGGTTCAAATCCAGCCCCAAACACTTAATAGCAGGTCCCATGGTGACCCTCGACAAGTCACTTAACTTCCGTTAGTACCAACTGTAAAATGGGAATGAAAATAATAGTCTACCTCCCCAGTAGGCTACTTATTTCCCAGGGTTGTTATGAAGATGAAAGGAGATGTAGTAAAGTGGTTTTCAAGAACTATGTAAATGCTAGGTTATTAAAAATTGTTTTTAGATACATCTTGACTTGATCAGTTTCTTATATATTTAGATGTCAAGGATTTGTCATATTTGCAGAAAATATTTTCACCAATTTGTTACTTTTAATTATGTTGTTTTTTTGTATGGAAATTTTTTTTTGCCATATAGTCAAAGCATCTAAGAATTCTTACTGTTGAATAGAAAAAAAATTGATCTTTCCCTCACAATAGATAAATATATATTCCATTTTCTTCCAACTTTTAAAAATTTCTTTTTATAATAATAAGGCTAACATCCTCTCGTGATGCTTCATCTTGGTGTAGGGGTGACCTCGCTGGCAGGTACCGCACAACTGGAACGGTTACAAGTATGGAAGTGGGGAGGGGAGGAGGGGTACACAGACTGTTCAGCCTGGTTGAGTGATGAGAGACTCATTAACAAGTTAAATTTTTTTTTTTTACACCACATGAAGTAATTCATGAAGTAATCCACTAGGGGCAGTGACTTCTTCAGTTTTTCGGTTTGTCATCTCCAGCGCCTGGCTAATAGCAGCCCCGAATAAAGCCTTGTTGAAAAGTGGTTGCTATTAGAGCAGGTGGAGGGACCATGGGATTCTGGAAGTGCTGAAGTGAGGAAGCTGTAGAGGAAAGAGCCCTGGATTTGGAGCCGGAGGATCTCATTTCCCATCCCCCTGCTCCTCTGTTTATTCACATCACTATGATCCTGGGCAAATTACTTAGACCACCCCCCCCTTTAGTTTACAACTCCGTTTTAAAAATGGGGAGGAGGTTGGGGGGGCTGGGAGAGTTAGACTAGATGATGGCAAAGGACCTTTCCAGCTCTAACACTTTGCAAGCCATGAAAAAAAAGGCCTATAATAATAATAGCTAGAATTTATGTAGCGATTTAGGGTGTGCAAAGTGCATTACGAATTTCTCATTTGACTCCCACAATAACCCTGGGAAGAAGGTTATAGTGCCATTCCCATTTTAGAGATGAGGAAACTGAGGCAAAGAGGGATTATGTATCCAGCGCAGTCACTCAGCTAGTAGGGGTCGGCCTCTGCCAATAGTAACAAAGGCAGGCGTGAGTATGAAGGACTAGTTTGGCCCGAAGGAAGGGATGACAAGTCGGTCCCTCTCCCTCCTTTGCAGAAGTGGAGATCCATGGCTGGCAAACGTTTTTAAGGTCAGATTTTGTCGATATTCTTGATCTGTTTTGCTGGATTTTTTTCTGGGAGAGAGAAGAAAACTAGGTCATGTAAAAACAAAAATGATCAATAATATTCTATTATTAAAGTAAAAATGAAAACACACGCCAGAGTTTGTGCTCCCACTGCGCGTCACCTGGGACCTAAGCACCCCGTCCCAGCTCTTGGCCTCCCTCTAGGGGTCCCAGGTAGCAGCTCAGAAGCCCTGGGGGATTCGAGGCGGGGCTGGGTTCCCGCCCACCCTCCGCCCCGCCCCACCCCGCCTCCCAGCCTCCCAGTGCCACACTCACCTGCCTAGGAAAACTGGGGCGCGAGAATTCGCCCCGCCCCTCCTGACTCGCCCTCCCCGTGGGAAGGGGGTGGGTCCTAACTTCCTGGAGTAGGGTTGGACAGCCCTCCTTGGAGACAGAGCGGCCCACCTCCTCTGTTCTCCAGCGTGCATGAGTCCCACCCCGTGTGCAAATATTTGACATTCCGGGGTTATCGGGGAAAAGGTTGGGGGTGGAAAGGGGGAATTGGGGCGCAGGACCGTGACCAAGAAAGGACAACCTGCCTCAAGTGATCACTGCCCTGTCCGGCCAAGGGGCAGACGGCGGTCCCGCGATGCCATTAGCCCATCTCCCACTACCCCATCCCCAGGTAGACAATGCACCCTGACCCGCCACGGCGCTGTAAAATGATGACTCAGTATTTTATAATCCGGAACCACAGACATCACCATGCAAGAGAACGAGCCTGGGGCGTAAAAAGGGGGGAGGGGGGAGAAAACAGAAACCATCTCGACAACACTGGGGAGAGAATGGAGTCGGAGATGGCCAAATGGGGCAGAAAGAGATGGAGAGAGACAAGAGTGGAGAAAGAGCGGTATGTGACAGATTCAGATGGAAGCAGAGGCATTGATACAGATGGAGAGGGAGGAATGTGAGGGTCTCATCTTTGTTAAAGAGTCACTCAGTCACCTTCAGTATGAAACAAAACAAACAAACAAAAAACAACTCGGCCATTTTGGAGTGGTTACTCTTTCTTGTCCCCTGTATCTGGTCACCAAGTCTTGCGAATTTTCACTTCAAACCTCTGTGGGAAGAGTTTTTCAGTCTTGTCTGACTTGTCATGACCTTATTTGGGGTTTTCTTGGCAGAGATACTGGAGTGGTTTGCCATTTCCTCCTCCAGCTCATTTTATAGATGAGGAAACTGAGGCAAACAGGGTAGAGTGACTTGCCCAGGGTCACAAAGCTAGTAAGTGTCTGAGGCCGGATTTGGACTCAGGTCTTCCTGACTTCAGGACCAGGACTCTATCTTTGCAACAGAACTTCAAGACCTGAGTTCAAATCCTGTCCCTGTCACTTACCTCTGTGGGGCTCCTTTTCCCCATCTGTAAAATGAGAGGGTTAGACTCTAAAAGCCCCTTCTAGCTCTAAATCTCGGTTCCTTCCACTCCATTCCTCCCAGTTCAAACATTTTCACATCTGGAGGACTCCTACTCTTTCACTTGACCCTCTGCCTCCCTGATCTCTTCATTCCTCACCTGGGGTCCACAGAGCCCCCCATCCATTCAAGGGGAGTAAGTATAGATTTCAGGAGATCAGCAAACTCGGATGGGGAAAACTGCATCTTTATTTCAATATAGCATAATTGGTATCCTTTGGAATCTTGGGCTTTTATGCGTTTAAACAATTATTGAGAGAATGGGTCCATAAGCTTAACCAGGACCCAAGACACAAACTCTTGTCTGTGCTATACAACACCCAGGAAATTAATTCCTCACACACCCCACTGAGGTTTGTAAAGTGTTTTCTGTACATTATCTCATCTGGGGCTAACCCTGAGAGGCTGGGTTTCCAGGTATTATTTCAATTATTGAACCGATGAGGAAACATAAGATCAGAGAAGTTGTTATTCAGCTAATAAATATCTGAGGAGGGAGTTAAATCCGGCCTTTCCAGATTCCAAGGCCAGTCATTTACCCCAGTGTCCACGCCGCATCACAGGCCCTTCCTATGCTTAACCTCAAATAAAATCCATGCTCCTCAGGTTGGCATTCAAGGCCCTCCACAATCTCACCCACCTTGAAAACCAGACAATTCTACTTACAGTTTGAACCCAATCCAATCCCACAAGCATGTATAAACCATCTACTGTGTGCAAATCTAATAGATATATGTCACCTGACTATGTTACATTTACTCCCCCTCTCTTCCCTTTAGGTCCTTCAACAAACCTCCAACCCCTTTAGATGTAAGGCACTACACTAGATATCCAGGGGAGAATGATGACAAATGATATCTTTCTTTGGGGAATTTAGCTTTTTTCTGTCTCTTTGCCTATTCATTTATTCCAGAGGTATGTGACTGGTAAAGCAAATTTCACAAAGTCAGAAGGCTCACCCTCTCAGTTGTTCATGGTTCCCCTATTTACTAGCTATGTGACCTTGACCAAACATACCTCCTCTGTGCCTCAGTTTCTCCAACTTCAAAATGAAAGAGTTGGGTTAGATGTACTCAAAGGTCCCTACCAGATCTAAATCCTGTTACTATACTTTCTGAGTAGTAATTGCTTAGCATTACATAGAGCTTCAAGGTTTGCAAAGTGCTCTACAAATATCTCATTTACTCCTCACAACCTTGGAGGTGGGTGCTGTTACTATTCCCATCTTATTGATGAGAAGCAAGACTGATCCATTAAATGATATGCCCATATCCACAGTTAGTGTCTCAAGTGTGCCTGACACAGAGTCTGATCTCAAAAAGTTTACAGTCTAAATCTTAATCCCCATCACAGTCCATGTTGGTGCCACCCCAGTCCTGGTGTTTTCCTTTAACACTGAACATGGAAGAGATGTCTCCTTTTGACCTCCAGAGCTCTTGTCTGTCCCACCAAGTTAGACTTTATCACACACAGTCTCAGTCTCTTTTCCCCCCATCATTTTCCCTACCATAGTTTTTCTAGGTTATCTTTTCACGAATTTATTATCTTCTTTCTCTTATTAGGCTATACAATACTTGAAGGCAGAGAGCTGTTTCTTATCTGAGTTTGTGGTCTCCCCACTGCCCCACCCCCAACCAATTCAGTGCCTTACAAGTACTCAATAAATACCAGCCAGACACAGAAACAAGTAAGACCAAGTTAGAGATACAAGGAGGTATGAGTCTAAGGAGGAGGAAGGAGTCCCATCACAGGCTCCCTATATGACCTATGGCAGGTCACTGGCACTCTCTGTAGGACTTTGAAGAGGGATACGTGGGGAAACGGCTGGCTTTGGAGCCCTAAGACCTGGGTTCCAGTCCTGACTCTGTCATTTTCTGGCTCTGTGCCCTTGGACAGGTGATTTTATGTCTCTGGGCTTCAGTTTCCTCATTTGTAACATGAGAAGGTTTGGGTCTAGAATGTTCTCTATGGTTCTTTTGAGCTCCAAATCTTAGTTGGGTAGTTATGGAAACAATACATTCTAATAATGAAGGGCATAGAAAGTCTGGGGGAAGTGGGAAATATCAAGGGGGCACCTGGAGAAATCCAAAGCAAAAGTGAGAGCTTGAAACCTTACAAAGAGGATCTCTCCAGAGCCAATGGGGACCGAACCTCTGTATCCATTGAATTCTCCCTTTTATTCAATTTTATTTTATTTTCATGAAGATCCAGTTTTCCCCCATCCCCACCCCCCACCCCAGGCAAGAAAAACAACGCCCCTGTTATAAACATGTAGAGTCAAGCAAAACATATTCTACATTGGCCATGACCAAAAAAATTGTTGTCTCAATCTGCTGAGTTCATCATCTCTCCATCAAGAGGCGGGCAATATAATTCATCATGAATCTTCTGGAATTACTGTTGGTCACTATATTGACCAGAGTTTCTAAGTCTTTTAAAGTTATTTGTCTTTACAATATTATTGTTATTGTATAAATTATTCTCCTAGTTCAACTCACTTCACTCTGCAACTGTAAGATGAATTCAGATTCACATGTAATATCCAACTCTAATGATACCTCCTCCATGGAAGTATTCTGTGACCTCTTGAGCCTAATTACCTTTCTCTGCTCAGATCTATCAATCAAGTTCATATGTACCTCCCTGATCAGCCTTCTCAATCAGAAAGCATGTATTAAGATCTCACCCATGTGCTAGTCTTAAATTCTTCTGGAGTGAAGCAACATGTACAAATATAGCTTAATATACAAAATAAATATAAAGGTAGGGGTTGATTGCATAAGTCAATCAAGTCACCCCCACCCCCACCCCCACACACATACATACTTAAATTAAATGATAAGATCTGGTTCACTAGTTGTCAACATGGCCTGAATACCTCCTTGAATTTATCAATGATATTTCAACTAGATTCAATGAAAAACCTAGTCAGATTGAGTGAGAGACTTTTTGTTGTTCAGTTGTGTAAGACTTCGTTTGGGATTTTCTTGGCAAAGATATTGGAGTGGTTTGCCATTTCCTTCTCCAGCTCCTTTTACAGATGAGGAAACTGAGGCAAACAGGGTGAAGTGACTTACCCAGGGTCACACAGCTATTAAGTGTCTGAGGCCAGATTTGAACTCAGGAAGAGTTCCTGACTCCAGGCCTGGCACTCTATCTATTGCACCACCTAGCATAGAGAGGAGTAGCACCCTTCAATCCTCAGTCTCAATCTCTCTTTTCCCTGTCCCTCAACCTAGGCCAGAGAAGCCTTGTGAACTTCAAAGGGTCAAGACAATTTAGACTTTTTATACAGATTTCTAGCAGTATCTCAGAAACATTGACAGCTATGTCTGTATCAGGAGCCAAAGAAGGACTGAGATGAAGAAAATAGATTCAATGCTCTATGAAGAGCCTAGAAGAAATGCTCCACTATACCTAAGGGGAACATCTTGTGGACACCAAAAAAAAAAGATTTCCAGGAGCTGTTACTCTTTGATATGCTTTGGAACCATGTAAGTCCTATTTTCTCTCAAATTTTGTATGAGTGTGTCCTAACCTGTTGGGGGATGTTTTGTGTCAACTATACCATTTCAGAAGGTGGTATTTGCTATATG